AGCCCAGACAGCCCAAACAGCCCAGGCAGCCCAGATAGCTTAGGATAGAAAACAGTATATAAGTAGCTGCCGTCCATATAATTTTTAGTCAGTTTCTGATAACTCACTCCTGTAACCGTTGGAATTTCTGATTCAGTGTTATAATAAAGTATTATTATTTTATTAAACACATTTTGGTTATAAAGATTCATTGGAGAATTTTTGCCGTACCTTGAAATATTTGTGAGAGATTATCTCTGGAACGACGGACTGTTCTATATAATCTTTAATTCCTTCTAAAAACTATTACTCGGATACAGATCAAACAGATTTTGATCACAATATACATTATTATCATTATACTTGCTAAGTCAAACACTTTCCAAAAACACATTTACAAACAAAGTTAGTGGGTCTACTGTTTGTTTTAAGTCAACTCACACATACAATATTTTCATAGTAATATTTGCTATGCTATTCTCAATTTCCAAAAAATTTTTATCCAAAAAACCGAAATTAATTTACTTTCTTAAGATAATCAGCACTTATCAATTATCCAATCAGGTTTCACTTAAAGATTAAAACAAAACTCAAACAAGCTCAAACCAGTTTTGTATCACAACAAAGATCACAACAACAATAATAACTAACACATTACTAACAACTATAATAACAAACAATATCATATATATTTTATTATCTATGATAACTGAAGAGTCAAAGAGATGAAACAATAAGCCTGTTTGGAGGCTTCCAAAGGAAAATAGTAGTTTTCTATCTATAGATTATAGTTTACTTGACATAGTTTTAATTATAGTTACTTTTATTTTTCTTTTCAATTTTTTATATTTAAAAAATCAAAAGAATTTGCAAAATTTCCTGGGATGGTAGGCATAGCCACTACTCAGCCTTATTTAGCATATTAATATTGATTTTGAATTTTTTTACGATATTAGTTAGATATTGTAAAAGTAGACAAGCTAGCATTTAACTTGTTGTATGCAATGTATCCAAAAGATGTTATTTCTTTCATGATATATACCTTGTTATATACAATATCAAATAAAGAAATGATGTTTACCTATGGGGGAATTCAAAATAATAATAATAATAATAAAATATATCTTATAAAAATAAAAAAGTCTTTAAAAACTTTTAAAAAAATGAGATTTTTTAGAGTTTATATAAAAATTTTTGCTTTAAAGATTTTTAATAAAAATATAAATCTTTGGAAATTTATATTATAAAGAATTTTAAAAATATTTGTTTAATTAAATTTATTGATATAATTAATTTATTTATATATTTTATAATTTAATAAAATTAATAAAAAAAACTTTTTTTGATAAGAAAAAACCATAACAGTTTTTTTTTGTATTTTTGTATTTTTTTATATTTTTATTATATTATAAAAACTATTAATATTAATATTATTATATTCACCAAATCAAATACTTTTTAAAAAACATACTTAAATAAAATTATTAAATCTATTATTTGATTTAATATAATTTTTATATATAACTTTATCATATTATTATTTATTGTATTATTTTAAAATTTTCAAAAATTTTTTTCAAAAAATCAAAATTAGTTTATCTCTTTCAAATAATTATTGCCCTTAAATTATTTAATCAGATTTTATTAAAACAACAAAGTAAAAATTGAATTTGTTTAAATCAATTTTTAATATAATAATAATAATAATAATAATTACCATAATAATAAATAACATCAATTATACTTTATTATTTATATCAATAAAAGCAATATTAACAACTAACAAGAACTAGAAAAATGGATTTTTAAGTCAAATCAGTGATTCTTTTAAAGATATTATTTTTATTTATATAGATTCTATAGTTTAAATAATTTAGTTATAGCTTTAGTAGCCTATAATATTGTAACTTTAATTTATTTTTCTTTTCAACTTTTTTTTTTCAATTTTTTTTATATCTAATCAAAAAATTTTAAGTAAGTAAGTATAACTATTATTCAATTATATTTAGTATATATAATATTATTTTAAAATTTTTTTTCAATATTAATTAGATAGAGATATATATATAAGTTAGTATTTAACTTGTTGTATGCTTTATATTCAAAAGATATTGTTTCTTTCAATATATAACTTTTTAGTATAATATCACAAATAAAGAAATGATATTTACCTATCAAAAAAAAAAATTTTTTTTTAATAAAATTAATTAACTTATTCTGTAATATTAAAATATAATAATTTAAAAATATAAGTATTTTTTATATAAATAATATTAATTAAATAAATAAAATAAAATTTGATAATTTATAATTATTTATTTAGTTAAATATAAATTTAAAATTCGATCAATAACTTTTTAAGTACTTTTTTATATATTATTATTTATTTAAATAATTGTTTTTTAAGGATAAAGTCTCGCATTTAATGCCTGTTTGCGATCTTTATTAAATTAAATAAATATATTATTTTTATTTTTAAATAGAAATTGTATATACGTATAAATTATAAAAATTTATGTCGTGCATATGATTGTATAAATGTCGTCATAATACGTCGATCGACTAATCGCTTTTTTCTTGTTTGTAAAGAGGCTTAAAATCTTGTCAAAATTGAAAAAATTATAGGATTACACTGGTATAAGATGGTACAGGAATGCCGTTTTTGAATTAGGAATTACTTGTGACTAGGCAATGCTTTTACACAACAGCTGGTGTTTTATCTTGCGTTTTCTATGTCAGAAAGGAACTAAATCAACGAAAATTACCTGTTCTATTATCTAATTACAAAAAATCATTTTCAGCTTTTTATTAATCCAACGTGGAGTCGATCCCTTAGAAAACCTTGTTTGAATCTGTCGAAAAACCGGTTGGCCATATAAATTTTAAATCTTGCGCGCAAAGAATTGCATGTCAATTATAATAGTAATGTAGTAATGTAATAATAATAATAATAATAATAATAAAGATAATCGAAGAACAATGTGGTACAAAGTTTAGCGGGATGGAATTGACAGGATCAAGAACAGGATTTAGAGAACACACATACCACCAATTTTTTCCATATTCGTCTGTCTTATGTAAATTGTGTTTAGCTACAAGAATAGTAGAGTGTAGAGAGTCAAACGAAGAAAACGCCCCAAAATTTATCCAAGTTTGGTGAGGGTATGGCGTGGGAAACCCCAAAAAAGATATTAAATGCACACCCACGTGGGTTCTTTAGCTGTATCATACATATATTCTTCTAAGCCATTACGGAAAGACCCTCGAAAGGCCGGATGTCAATTTGACAATTTCTATGCGTATTATTACGTAATGAAATTGGAGGAGTTTCGAATTTATTTTTAATCACACAAATTTATTTCTTGAAATCCAGTATGGATATACTGTTACTTTTGCCGTAAAGGACGAGGTAAGGTCAAGATCTCTGTTGTTTGTTTGGATTATCTTTTATGTTTCGGGTCCCCTTTATTCTCGCAAGACCCCTGTTTCTTTTTGTAATCCGGAACCGTTTATTTTCCCCAGAAATTTTATTCAGTCTGTGTAGCACTTAAAGAGATTAATGAATGCGTTATACATCTCAGATACTAGTCAATTAGGATGTACGTACAGCTAATTCTTTGAGGTAATTGTGTTAAAAAATTATGTACCCAATTCGGTGATGAAATGGGATGACAACTAATGTCATATTAGGCAAAAAATTTACCAGAGCACCCTCAAAATATTCAGTTCCTTCCCCTTTTACCCCCAACGAGCAAAACAAAAGAGAAAAATAATATTCAGGCGCTCCAAGAAGAGCCCCCGTTTGCTAAAAGTCGAGAAAAATAAGCCTTTAACCTTTCCATTCAATTTCAATTTCCTTTTCGCCCAACTATATTTCCTTTCCTTATTCCTACCTTCGCTTGTATATCATTTCATACTATCCTCCTCCATTTTATTTTACCCTTATAATCTGTCCTGTCGTCGAGTGTAGCCTATACGTGTTTTATTGTAATTAACTCCTCAACTTTTTCGGTTCAACGTCACCTTAGAAACCTTGCACAGACCTAGATTTCGTCGACTAGTGAGGTGGTTTTTGAAGTAAAAATATCAATAACCTAAAGCTGCGGACAACTCGGAGAATAGAGTTATTTTTGTGTACTTAGGAAACAATATAACCCTTTGTCTACTTGTGTATAAATACACACTATAAAATTTTTTTATATAAATATCATTCAATACTTTTATAATTTTTTTTATAAGCAAATATAATCCCATTTCATAAAAAGTTGCTGGACGACATGTATATGCCTTATGGGACGCGAGCGACTGGTGGTTCAAGAAATCAGAAAGCAAAGGTACTAAAACCAACCTGCATTAGGGCTCTCGAAGTGTCTTTTTACTTTAAGTAACCTAATTATTTGCTTAAAATACTTTGGTCCTTCCTCGATCATTCAACTTTTATTATCAAGCTTGCCGCCGATTACCAAGAATTATTGAAAGAACTGTCGACGCCTGAAGTAAAATGCGTTGGGAATTATGTGTTGGAAAAGACACTTGGAGAAGGTAAAAGGAATAAAAAAAAATTTTTTTTATTTGAAAAGAATCATTATTTTTCCATGCATTATTCAATTCTAAAATCGACAAGTTATATCATTATTTAGGAACATATGGAAAGGTTAAATTAGCAACACATAAACTTACCAGTCAAAAGGTGATTTCATATTTTCATCCTGAACCTCGATGTCAATTATTAATTTTTATTTGTGGTTTTGTTAGGTCGCAATAAAAATAATACCAAAAATTCACGCTGAAAATTGTACCCGAGAAATACATCATCTCCGACATTTACATCACCCAAACATCATTTCCTTACTTGAAATTATACCAACTGAGTCTAAAATTTACATGGTGTTAGAATATTGTGAGGGTGGCGAACTGTATGATTTCTTGGTTGATCGGGGAGGGCGCCTGAGAGAGAACTTGGCGCGAAAGATTTTCGGTCAACTGTGTAGGGCGGTTAAATATTGTCATGATAGACGAATTGTTCACAGGTATGTCCGTTTATTCTCTTTTTATTTATCATTTCGTGGTACTCCATATTTTCTTGAGATAAGGTTAACATATTCGATACATTTTGACCCTTAGAGACCTTAAACTTGAAAATATTCTTCTTGATGCAAATAACAACGTAAAATTGGGAGACTTCGGTTTTACGAGAGAGTGCGAAAGTAAGAAGTTACTAGAAACCATATGCGGATCAGTAGGTTATTCAGCACCAGGTATGTGACATTATGAAGTTGAAATTTATGATATTCGAGCCTCTCTTCGGAATTTATATCCCTCTACTTACCATCACATGCTAGAGACACAATTGTTTAGAGTAATGAATGGTTCCCGTTCAAGAGAATTGGTCCAATGTCCATAAAATTATCATTAAAAGATAAATACTTTAGACTCTAGATATTAAAATGTTTCTTTTTTATTTTCCAGAAATGCTCAAAGGAAAGAGGTATTCTGGCTTAGGTATATTTAATCTTTTTTTAGTCTATTCAATTTCGTAAACTTTTGCACATCACACGATTAACCTTTATTGGTCACTGTAGAGGTTGACGTATGGTCCCTTGGTGTTATACTCTACACGCTTCTTTGCGGGACGCTTCCTTTTGACGACGACGACGACGATGAAATGAAATCAAAAATTATAAGAGGAGAATATGAGATGGAGGAATTTTTATCAAGTGGTAATGTTTAATTGTACCAACGAATCAATCTCATTCCATCAAAATCTCTCATTATTTTTTTTGCATTTGCAATGTCAAAAATTTAAGACGCTCAAGATTTGATCAGTTCAATATTACAATTGGAACCAACAGAGAGACCGTCATTAAAACAGATTCTACAACACCGGTGGTTTACGATAAAAGATGAGGAGGAAGATGATGATGAATGGGATACAACCGATGATTTAGATGATAGCGAATCCATATCATCAGCTACCGGGAACGATGAAAAGGAAATTGTTAAACCAAGTATCCCTCAATCTAAAGAAGTCGGCGAGGCCACGAGCCATCTCGAGCACCTTGAACGACAACGGCAAGAGATCTTTCTAATAACGAATCACAATGCATATAGTCAACAGCCAACAACATCCGGTCAATACAATAGAAATGTTGAAAATGGAACGACCTCTGTACCTTCAGCGTATGAGTCGCGACTAAAGGGAATGACTTCCACCTCCACAAATACTATTCCACCAAGAGTTTGGGGACCCTCAACCTCGAAATCTTCCCGAAGGTCTTCAATTGATAGTAAGGCTTTTAACGAAAGAGTTTTTTTTACAACTCCCGAAGAGAAGGAATTGCTGGAAAAACTTGACAACTTGGGCTTTGATTTTCAGGCTATAAAAAATAGTGTCTTGGAGGGTAAAGTGGATTCAGCTAGTGGTCTATGGTGGCTACTATTAACAAAGTTGAGGGAAAAAAGGAGGATAGAGGGAACGCATAGTTCGATAACAATGGTAGATGTGGCTGTTGGTACTAGTGATGATGAGGTGGAATTAGTAGACGATGTCGAGGAAGAAGTGGAGTATGCAGAATCACCACCGGAAAGTAATCTTTTATCCAGATCATCACAGGAAGAGTCAAGAGCCAAAGTTGAAATCCCTGAAGAGATAATGCCCCCCACACCACCACCTAAGACCTATCATTCTGCACCAGCTTCACGCGAGAGGCGTAAATCTTTGATCCTTTCGTTGCCAGAGGCAGTAGAACCTGTTCTGACGACCATTACTGCCACCGCATCTCCCCCAATATCGCCAAAGAAGTATCCATCATTTAGTCCGTTAAGCTCCCGATCGGTGAGTCCCATACCAACCGTACCGATACCGATACCGATACCAATGTCCAATGGCAAAGGCGGTCATCGGAAAAAAGGTGGTTTATTTTCAACGCTTAAGGGATGGTGGGTTGGTTCTAATCATAAAGATTCGCACAAGAAAAACTTACTGAGCTGGACCGAAAGTCGAGTCGTTGTTCCTACCGATGTTGCACGTTCGAGATCTCGTATTAACAGAAGGAGTGGCAGTAAAACTCCGCCTAATGGTGATAGCATGAACCTTCAGAGAAGGTCCTCGTCGGTATCACATGGATCAACAAAAGATCGAAAGAAGAAGAATCGAAACTCGTTGCAAGGTAATAAGGGTCGACGTCATAACTTTCCACCACTGATAATACCCCCTGTTACACCTTCTATTGTCCTTTCACAAAATTCCCCAACTGGTATGTTACCTATTCCTGGCACACCGCCGGCAGCAAGATCTAAAACGATGTTCACAATTAATCGTCGAAATCCGTTTGCATATCCAGGTGCTTCCTGGGGGCGTAAACAGGTAAAGCGACGGAGTACAGGTGGTAGCTCAATAAATCAACTTGTAGAAAATTTTAATTCCACCAATGAATCTGGCTCGTCCGAGGACATCAATAACAAAAATCATCAGGAAAAAAAGGACACTTTTGAGAAAAGTGAGATAGAGGACATTAGTACTGATGTGAAAAATAAAAAAGATGCATTAAACATAGATGAACAATCCATAATAGTAGAATCTTCAAAATTCAAAATAACCGCTTTTGCATCGCCCCCACCGACTCCACCTTCACCAAAAAAAAGCACAGAAACATCCACGCCCGTTCAAGAGGGGATCGATTCATCAAAAGCAGATAAATCCTCATTTAAGATGTCGGAAGAGAGTCTAGCGCTAAGTGATGACGGTGAGGAATCTGATATATTTTTTGATGCTACAAGTGAAATCACATCTCACGCACAATCCCGTACGCCATCTCGTACTCCTTCTCCATCTCCACCTACATCCACTTCCGTATCCCCATTACCTAATGCCTCGCCTACATCAAAACTCCATGATACCGTTGAAAATCCGTCGGCGTCCTCTCCACAACCATCGCTTTCGTCACTTTCTTCTATACCTCCACTGTCCATTACCGCGCTTACTCATTGTCGATCATCACAATCTTCGATGACATTAGTTTCCCCACCGTTGTCTCCCACCGACAATAATGATAGGACAACAACATCATTACCGCCTAGAAGAAGCAATGAACAACGTCTAAAACCGAATCCCACTCGTTCGTCCTTATCAGGAGTGAAAGGAAAGAATCCTGAGATCATTCAATTACAATCCGTCACGTCTACACCCCCAGAATCTCCCAAAGTGTTACAACCATCTTCCCCGTCAATACGTCCGATTCCTTCCAAATCTAAACTTCGTCAGTCACACAGTCGAGCACATTCTTCACCGAGTGTGCTTAAAAATGTTGGAAAAGGAGACTCTGATAATTTAGATGAAACTGAGAATATCGGTGTTGATATACCCAATCAGAAAATGGGACGTGAAGAAACAAGATTTGAGTTGAGAAGAGATTCCTCCCCTTCTCCTCCAAATGTATCTGTGCTCAACGGTGCACAACGTCTGTTCATGCAAAATAATTCGGTAAATCCGCGTCGCTCTCTGCAAAATGGCTTCTCTCGAAAAACGATGAACAATTTCGGTGCGAGTACTGATGGAAATGGTTTTGGCGCCGTAAGCGGCAGACGTCCAAAGATAACCAAACCTGCAATGATCATGGAAGAAGAGGAGGAAGAATGACAATAACCAAGTTTGTTCAAGAACCCAACAATGATGCATTGGCATCTAACGAACTACGTTTAAAGGGAGATTATGATGATTGTTTTTGGATTCCGGAAGAAAAAGCAGTGCTCTTATCAAAGCTGTACGTTCTTTCACGAGTTCTACCAATTTTCTCATGATATTGTGGGATAAAATTACATTCAACCCCCTTTATTATAAATTCACGCATTTGCTTCTAATAAAAAAATGATTTCTTTTTTTTATCTCGGCATTCACCCTTTTCATAATTTCGATCATTTTGAATGTATTTTGATAAAAAAGTTCGTCCTACGTTGCTTTTTCATGTTAATATTTTCATATTTTCATGTTTTTTAGTCACCCAATACTCTGTTTATTGCAACCTTTACGATTATCACCTAAAAAAAATTAATAAATTGGAATAATGCTATTTTTTTTTTTTTTTTTTTTTTTGTACGACGCATTTATTATCATTTTTTCACCTGATAGTTAAACTCAGTAATAAACATTCGCCACTAATGCTTTTAGGTATTAAATCAACAAAATTTCATATCACCATTTAATATTAATGTAATATTAATCCTTTCATACTACCCACATTATCACAAAAAACTGTATCGCATCTAGTGTAATATCATCGCAAATCACAGAATACAAAATTAATCAATGTCAATAGTATTTTTGAAATTAAAATTAGTCACATCATCCATTTAATATTAATGTTATCTTTCATTTTGGATGATATCATACTTCTTTTCCCGTGGAAATCTCCATTCTGAAGGTTTTTTTTAAAGATTATAATTTTTTTTCTTTCTAATTCGTTTGTGTCTCGTGAGATAAAAGCATCAGCATCTGTTTGAGGTCGCGTGTTAAATCACACCAACGATGCTCGAGAACACTAAAATGATGAATATCACATGAGCGATTCTAGAAGACGGACTAACCATTACATTGATTAGGGTATTTCCACAGGCCTTGCGGACAGAGCCTAGTTATTGATTGAGTAGTAATGTATTCATCTTTGTTAGATCATATAAGCCCTTTCATATGTAAGTGCCAGTGTGAGAGAAAAAGTACTAAGAACGGTTAGCAAATTTTTGAGTTCCGAAATTGTCCGAGCATTATGCCTTCTACTTATCTGATTTTATGGTTAGCAAAATAAGATCTGATAACTAAAATGACAATGGATTACAAATGGAAAATCTCATTCAAACTTGGAATTATCAGATTTTGAATGCGATTACAAATTCCCATTTCCTGTATTCATTTCCCTTTTTTCTAGTTAACAATACAACAATAGAAGAACGAAGAACGAAAAAAAAATATGGCATCTTCTTCCGAACCACTTCTTTCATCCACGAAACGTAATAATAATAATGTTGAATATACACCGTTAACTGACCGCTCGTCGTCTTCTGTAGAAATATCAGAAGATCAACGGCCAGATTTAATACATGAATATGGATCAGATAATGAGATAAATAAAGATGCTTTTGGAGGCGAAGATGGCGAAAGACCATTGAAATATAAAATTGTTGCCTTGCTGTGCGTTTTGTCTTTGTCTGGTATGTAGAGACAATTCTAACCTACATAGCGAATGCAGAGATTAACCGCAACGGAATTGGACCGTGTTACATGACGCTATTGTTTTTGTGGACAGAAATTACAGCAAGAAACTGATAATTGATTCTCACAACTATGTATTGATTGCAGTTGGAAGTCATTATGCGGCTCACACGCTCGGAGCTTTGAAGACAGAAATTAAAAGAGTTTGTATTTGATTTCTTCTATGTAATTCGAATCATTTTTCGCGGCGGCAATTTGTTTAATTCTTATTGCATAGGAATTAGGCATTACAAATGCACAATATGGAATTATACAATCTTCAGTTTCGCTTGTGAACACAATTTTACCGATCCTCGGGGGAGTCTTTATTGATACCTTTGGGACCGTGGCTGGATCAATCTTGGCCACATCTTTAATTGCCACAGGAAATATACTGGTGGCATCGTCTACTCTATTAGTATCATTTAAGGTGATGGTGGTTGGAAGAATTATGTATGGTATTGGAAGTGGCACCATTGTCACGATTCAGACTGCCATCTTGAGCCATTGGTTTAGAGGAAAAGGATTGGCAATTGCTGTTGGCTCTCAGATTGCCGTAGCAAGATTGGTAATGAATCACTTTGATAGATGATATTATAATATAGCGAAAAATATGATTAGGTTATCGTTTATATCTAACTAACCAATAATAACCAGCGTTTCTTTCATAACAACAAAGTCGTCGTTTCTTGCAAACTTGACTGTTATTCCAATTAGGAGAATCACCGGTTTTTATGGTTGGGCATTTTGGGTAAGTCAGAAATTAACCTTTCTTTTTTTTTTCTTTTAAAAAAAAAAGGATAAATAATTGGGAATTATATTTAACGAGTTCATTTCCTATTCGTGTACATAAAACAGTTTGCAGCATTTCTCTGCCTGATTTCCTTTACAATAAACATAATATATGTGTTTATAATGCGAACTATTAATGAAAAACTTTGTGAGCAAGAAATCATGAAGCTTAAACAAAAGCGATCGTTTAATTCGAGAAACTTGCTATTCCTACCAGCAATCTACTGGATTTTAACGTTACTTGAATTTGTATTGGGTTGTTCCTGGACTTCATTTCTGCATATTCATACGTATGTATTCGATGTTATGCTTGTTCTTATAATTTTGAGATTAAAAAAATAATCTTTTTTTTTTTTTTTTTCAATAAACACGCTATCATAGAGAATTGGTAAAATTTAGGTGGAAAGTTTCTGACGAAGTTGCAGCATATTACTCGAGTGTTGCACAGTTCTTACCGATTTTCGTTTCACCCTTTCTTGGTTATCTGTTGGATAGATTTGGAGGTCGATCTTACGCTCGTGAGTAGTTCGTTTAATTAGAAATTTTAATTGATAATCGCAATTACTAATGTCGCGTTTGAGTAGTAATCGCGTCCACGGTTTTCCTTGGCCTTTCAATGTACTTCCTCGGATTCACTCTCATGTTCTCTCCAATAATTGGAATGATTTGTTTCTCGGTATCACTCTCATTAGGACCTGTTTCATTGCTATCATCTATCCCAATTATATTGTCATTGAACTATGTCGGCACAGGGTTAGGAATAATAAAGTCGGTATCGAATATAGGTGCTACGTTATATGACATCTTCGTCGGTATACTGCAAGATAAGGATTACAGTGAATATACGTTGGTGATGAGGTTATATTTATTTACTAGTCTCATCGCGATGATGGTTTCTGTATGGTTATTGATAACATCAAGGAGGTGGTATGATGGAGTGCTCGATATGAAAGAAGATGAACGAAGAAACTATTTTGAGGAAAAAAGACAGAGCGAGGAATGCAGGCAAACGTTTGTGCAACAAAGAAAGCCATCGAAGATGAATTGGCTTTATATTATATGTTTTGTTGGGATTTTGGTTTTAAGTTGGGTTTTGTTCTTTATATTCGTGATTGATGGCATGAAAGAATGAATTATTAAATGACATTAGTTTGTACTTACTACTTTCGTTTGATGACGGTCTTATTCTACACATTTAAAAAGTTGTAAGGTTTGATGGAAAAATAGTGTTAACGCCGATCATTTGTGCTGGCCGGATTTATTAAGTTTAATTTCACATGAAATAAATACTTAAACTACAATAAACCACAGTTCTCTAGTTTATATTTAATCATGACTCTAATGACATTTTTTGGGTGTGGTCTAACAGGCACTATATCTACATTTATTTTTTCCCGCAATTCGTTTCGTTGACTTTCATCTCAAATTAACAGTTAAATTTTAGCATATGGACCAGCACTTAGTATATTCTTTTTACATATCGCGAAAGATGCACAACTGGTGATATTAATGGTTTCGAGGTATAGCATAAACTCTCTCGATAACTTGTTTCACCATGTTATTCGACCTTTTGACTAATGTGGTTTGCGATGTTCGCTGGTTTGCTCAATTCATTACAGCGCATTCTTCTGGTTAATATCGATACTACTGTCTTCCACCTTATGGTACTTTGCGAGATCAATCATGACGGTTACCATCTTATACAGTGTCCTTCTACAAGAAATCTTTCGATGGTTTTTTTTTAAACTCATGATGTATGCGCTCAAATGGTCTTTTTAGTGGTCATAGTACTTTTCTCCTATTATCCTAACCCGATCGCTTTATGTAGGCGTGCGGAACCAGGACTCATACTAGTATCAAATAATCCTCAATCATCATACAATAGACCAAGTTTTGCGTTTGGTAAGTAAATTCCCATCTGATTTCAGATTTTCCTAATGTGTTAATAATCACTGACGACCTGACTCGCAGTTAGTGGAATGGGCTTTGGTTTAATGAACGGGATTGCTACATACATAAATTTATTGATGAGTTCAATTGGGCCAGGAGTGCTAATGTGCGTATCTTGCCCTGCATTGACCGTATATTTTGTTGGAGGTATAAAAGTATTTAATTATTATTTCATCGTTGCTTCCTATGGACCTAACTTATCAAATCATCAAATTCACCTCAATTAGCTATTACCACTTGTATATTCATATTATTACATATTACGTGGATGATGTTGGCTTTTGATGGATTCTCAAACCCTCGGAAAAATTTAATGAAAATAATCTGGGTCATAACAAGCCACCTTGGTGCATCTTATGCGGTAATCTCGTCATTATTCATTCATTCATTTTTGGTAACTTGTAATTACTAACACTACCTACTTTTCGTACTATGCAGACGCTACTCAATAACTCATCTACGATTTATTTGGGTTGTTTATATGGTACACTCGTCAACTTGGCAATACTTGGTGTATCAGTGATGGCCGTCATAAGGTCATTAATGAAAATGCATAAAGCGTAATAATAATATTCTAAGTAACTGGGGAGGTCAATAGTATTTCATCGCGAACGAAATTGTTGGAATGAGCATAACGCGTTCACATCAGCATCATTTGATCAGATAGCTCCACCATAATTAAAATGGTTAACTGATGGTTGCTCTGCTTGGTGATGACAAAAGGAGGGTCTGGTGGAAAAGCGAGGGAATGAACCTCACAATATCGTAAGGAAAAGGTGATGCTGATATAACGCATGTGTGCAAATATTATTCGAATAATTCAGGTCAAATTAAATTCCTTCCATTCAGTTCTTTATTAAACAAAAGGTCGCCGTGTATTTTATACTCAGTATTAAATTATTATTTTTATGGTATATGAAGTGTTTTTAGCCTTATACAAAGATTTTCGCTCCCATTTCCTTGTAAAACGAACATACATATACAATCGAATCATTAAATCACCGACCAAGTCTTGCATCATCGATATCTTTTTGGAGCCTTCTATAATCCGCGTCACCCGATTCCGAGTGGTCTTCAATGATCGAAAGTTGACTTTTCAAAGATCGTAAACCATCTTGCAATTCTCGTATTGCAAGTCTCTCCTTACGAATATATTCCTCCAATGTCCTATTCAATTGCTCTTTGTCCGTCTCTTCGACAAGCTGCTTTTGTTTGTATTCATACAATTGTTTAAACTCCGATGTAACACCAGAATCCCTGGATGAAGTTGAGCTCGTGTACGAAGACGACGATGTTTCCTCAGCCTTTTTCAGTTTCTCATTCAATTCATCAAGTTCCCTTTGTAATTTCTCTTCTTCCCATTTTGACCCTATATTTTTTTAAAAAAATAAGAATAGTAACAATCTTTTAAAGGCTTTGATGAATATTGCTTCTGCATATTGCATCGAAAATCCTGCAAAAAGTACCTGAATCATAAGAGTTATAAGTTTTACTTATCGAACTTTGTGATCCACTGTCGGATGACTTCGATCTCCAAGATGGATCGGCTGTCTCATTGTAATTATAATTAAGTTTACCCCTCAGGAGGGAGGTTTTTAACGCACTAGGAACGCTGTCAGGAATACGCCTTCCTTTACTCCGTTGATTTAATATGTGCAGAAACAAAAGGCACTGATCTTTGCCTAGCTGCTGCTCAAAGTTCACATCGGCGAGATTCCTGATACATTATGAGAGTTAGCGTGATGATTTCGGCAATTTAGGATGGAACTGAAGAGTGAATCAATGAATTTTGAACAAACCATGCAGCAATACATTCTTCTCTTGGTATTCCGAGTCGTTGGTACAGATCTTCGAAATCACCAACTAAATTTAAGAGTAATAATCAGTTTGGAATTATTACGAACCCGTCCGAATGTATACTTTGAAAGGCTCACATCGAACGTATCCATGGGGACCAGCATTTTTAGAATATTCATTTTCATAGTTGAACTTATCCGCGGGTGGCATATACCAATCAAAGTCGTCCGAAAGCGGCGCCGTAGGAAAAGCACCGTAGTTTGGCTAAGTTAAATAATGATTTAATTAATTAATTAATTAATTGTATTTATTACGCTCACATTGAGAAGAAAAGGATCAATTAAGAAAGCATTCACTTGTACTTGTGATGGCAGTGGCGAGACCGAAGTGATCTGTGGTAAATGCAGTGGAACTTGATAAGAAGGAACTATATTCGATATCCCCGATTGAATTGGTCCAATATTGGTCTGAGAAATTGGGTTAATTGATTGTGGGATCGGATTTATTGGAGTGGACTGTGAATATGTCCCGTGACCACCAATACTCAAGGTCGAGCTGTTACCACCAAAACCACCACCAGAAAGTAGGTGGGCTTTATTTGGAGGAATCAATTGTGGCGGCAGAGAAGGAGGCACGTCCGTATATACTCCGTTCAACAGATCGCCCACTAGCTTAAAGGTAACCGAGAACTCGTCAAAGTCAAGTTGGCCGTCCTTATCAATGTCACAAATATCCCTGTGTGAAGAGATGCAAAGGTTAATGAACGAGTGCACCAAACAGAACAAGTTGATCTCTTACCATATTCTTTCGAGCCAATGAACTGGAAGCTTCGAACTTAGAAGCCAGTTCCTTGCCTGTGTACCTAAAAATTAATACGAAAGTCTTCTTATTAGTCTTTAATCTTCAGACATCATTCACTTTTTCGAAGATCTGTAATACCTGATAGATGGCCGGTAATCGACGGACCCAACGAGGTGAAAACTTGAAAATATTTTTGTTTTTCGACGTCAGTAATTCCGCTCATTGAATTTGTATAGTACACCCAGTGCACATAAAAGGTGTACTTTATAATGCTTCATTGTTTTGTATCACCATATCTTATTATCGTCCAATGGTTTTATAATCGGTTGTGACACACAGACATACCACCACAGATACCTTTCCCATTCGTACTTATTGCAATCTGAACGCGTCTTGTTAAAAAGGTTGACTCGAAAAATTCACATTCACAAGTCAAACTAGCGTTCCCTTTATCTGTACAACAAGCTTCTATCAGATCAGGTGTATTCAACGATCCCTAGGGATCCCACGATATTATCAACATTTCATTAAATCACCACATTATTTAGGGTTTCATTAAAAATCTTTAACAGAAGATGAAACTTTCATCGACACAGCAAAAATCGATACAGCCCTTCAACATTGAGTCATCTTGCACCGAAGTTGACATAACAAACACTCTTGTTGTACCCGTTATCACATCACCAACCCGATCTCCGGTTATCGAAGTACTCACGACGCCAGAGCTAATTCATGCTATATTTGACTATCTTTCCGTTCCACAATTAGTTAATGTAAGATCTGTGTGTAAGCAATGGTATCAAATCGTCAACATTCCGTCCCGGGTAGCTGCCTACGTCAATTACACCGCACGCCCTAAACATAAGAAAGTCTATGTACTCACCAACAGTACATATACCCATGAGGACAATTTTGTCTCTGATGTAGATGTGGCTATCAGTGGTGTTTACACGAACAAAAGGAAAGCCCAAAATGAATTAAATAAATGGTATGAACAGTATGAAGAACAGATGTATGAGAACTGTGAAGATCAGTCCGATGTGAGGATCATTCTCAAAGGATTCGAAAGAAAGGGTTACTACGATTATGATATAGAGCAAGGAGAGATTCGGGAAATTGGTGAATACGATTTGGATGATGGAAAAGAGAGTGATGATGAGACAGAAAATCAACAGGAATCGAAAGCGGCCGAGTTGGAATCTGTAGAGGAAGGTGGTATTACCTATTATCTTATTGATTAAGTTGTCAGGTTGTCAGTTTACTGAACAGAACATCCTTAAAGTAACCTTCTGCATTAATTGATGTCTTGATTATTGTTATTATTGATTCTATTCCCGGCAAAAAAATAGTTACAATGTAAAAAAAAAAAAACGATAACTTCCGGCCGAATAAGTTTTCGTGTGGATAACATAATTCATATACATATCTAATATCACTTTGGGCATTGATTGACTAGACACCTCATTTTGTGAATAAACCCTGAACCATGATAAAAAAGAATTATCATCATCTCACCCATTAAATATAGGATTTAAATATTTTTTTGGGAGAAATCCTCGATTCCTCAATTTTTCGAACTTACATTTCTGCACCATACGAACGGGGAATGAGTAAATTCTTGAATGATCCAGTAACCCATTTGTAAGTACGCTTTTGATAACGGTTCCCTAAAGAACTACATACGACCTGATTTCGAAGAATGTCTAAGGTGGTGACAGCATTGTAGGATTTGCAGATACCGTTACATTAGCGAAAGCAGTTGAATATTAAGGCGTGTTCAAAAGAATCTTTATTCTGTGTTTAAAAAAAATGACTGTATCGCATCCCGCAAATACCTAGAACCATGAAAATAGAAGTATTTAAAATTTCAGAATTTTGCGATAATATCTAGGACGCGTCAAGTAATGTTACACTGAACAGGTGCGTTTCATATAAAATCGTAATTCCAAGTCAAATTGCCATGAAACAAGAAAATAATAGAAAGAGGGAACACCCCAAGAGTAAGCCCCGTTGTGTTATGGTCTCTTCTCCTGTAACAAGTGCAGGAGAGAAAGACCACAATCGCATAACTGTGCTATGACCAACAAAACCTCTTCGCGACACTTCCCAAAGAGTCTCAAGGATTCGAAAACCCTTTTCTTTGACATAAGGAAGGTCAAAAGCGAATTGGTAATACCACACTATGGGAGACACTTTCTGCCATATGTCCGAGGACTTTCCCCAAAGCAATAGGTATTGAGCTAATAAAATTATTGCTCCGTGTGTGTTGCTTTGACAGCGATTCTTCGAGGTGTTCCCAAAAAATAATCAAAATTTATACGCGCAAGATCAAGCGAAACTCACGTTCACCTCGTTAACCTATTATGTTTTATCATAACTGATAACGAAAAAAAAAATATATAAATAACCGTTTTATTTGATTGGTTGAGAAAACCAATTGAATGAAGTGGTACGTCATTTCAACTCGGAGTTTATACTCCAAACGCCCAATAAAACAAAGAAACGTATTTTTTTCTCCGCAGACATCTCTTCTTTCATCTCTTCGACTTATAAAAGAAAAGAAAACTTTGAAAAAAAAAAAAAATGTCCTACAAAGCAAATAATCGCCAAGCCTGCGCTAAAAAGCATCAAGTTGCTCGTAAACCTTTAATTGTAAGGTCTCAACTTTCTATCAAAACTCCTAATAGTTGCATAAAACCTTTAAAAAGGTCATACCAACAAAAATACAAACACAAATGCACCTCTTCTTCTTCATTAGCTAAAACAGCTACAAGAGTTCGTTCGCAACCGCAATCTAGAAAAGTTCAGTTGAAAAGAATGAAACAAGTTCAATCAACCACTACCACCGAAGCAATCAATTTGAAGCAAGAAGCTTTCAAAGGTTCGTCATGTTATGAAATTTTGGGTTTTCTTGACCCAGATAGTATTGATATAACGAGTCTTACAGGAATGGTGGACCTCTTTTCTGAATTCTTCTAACCTTGAACAACCTCAAGCATTTATTCATGTTATTTGTCATTCGGGTTAAGAGATAGTTTCCGCGAAAATTTCATCCGCTTTATTTATTCTTTATAGTTATAGCTGCATTTTCACGAGTATACTTAACTTTGAGCAAAGTTTATTTTTAACAAATTGGATAAAGAAATGCCGTTGCAGGTTTATCTTATTCTAAACCCAAGGGGTATCCCCTCATTGGACTATCCTTGTAAGTTTTTTCTTTAATTCCTATTATTAGATTTTAATATTGTATACACTTTATTTGATTATCAAACATCTTTTAATAGGAAATATAATTTCGCGCTGTAGGATGCGTAGGTTTCTTTTTCTTTAATTGTATCGACCATTGAACAAATTACAATTGGAATCAGGGCATAAATTCTACTGTAAAACGGATGTGAAAATCTATTAACCTGGTTAAAATCATGGGATTGGGTAATAATAGTGATAGTGATGTACATATATACATACATTGTAATTTTGCCGATGTGTGGTATACGCGATCGTAATAGTGCGTAACTTTAATAATTAAACATTGTGATAGCATATACATATATGCTATTGCGCGATCAAATAATTAGCAATGTTATGTATATACTATATACATGGTGCATGAGATTCTAATAATTAAACAATATATTCTGTTCAATTTGTTATAATTAAAAATTATCCTAGATGGTTATATGATTCTATTTGTAATTATTATATTTCTTATAATAAGAAAAATATAAAACTTTTAAAGATCATATAAATGCAATAAATTCATATAATAAAATTTTCATTAAAAAATTTATTTAAAATATTATCAGATTATATTATAAAAAATCTTATAGTACAATGGATAGTGTTTTTAAATTTTCAAATACAGAAGATAAAATGCATAAAAAATTTTTTTACATATAAATTTATTAGTTTCTTTATGTTATATTCAAATATCTAAATTATATTTAAATTTATTTATAATTGATTAACTGATCTTCAATTATGTTATATCTAATAAATCAAATCTTTTTTTAAATAATTAAGCTGTATAAAGATAAAAAAATTGTATTAAAAAAAATATCTGATTTAATTACAAAAAAATATATTAATTCAATATTTAAATTTATTATAAATTTATATAAATAAGTCTAAGATTTCAAACCAATATCAAAATAGTATCAACTTATAATAAATTTAATATTAATTTGATACTGAAATAATACTATTAGAAACCTTAAGTAAATTTTAATTCATATATTAAATTTATTATAAATTGATACTAATTTAATATTATTTTAATACTTTTTCAAAACTCTACTATTAATATTTTTTTATAAATATTTTAAAAATTTTAATATATATATATATATATTTTAAAAATTTTAATATATATATATATATATATTGAAACTTTTTATATTTATGTTATTTTTCTTAAACTTTTTTTTTTTCTATAATCTTAAATTTTTAATTTTTTTTAGGACCTGTGGGTCTATAGTGTAGTGGTTAACACTCCACAGGTCAGATCACAAGATATCAGTTCAACTCCAGGTAAAGGCAGTTGAATTAAATTAAAAATGGTATCTGGGCCATAACCTGTTAAGCCCTGTTTCTCATAAGAAGTCATTTACATGCTGATTCAGTGAGACGTTGAGATTGTGATTTCCAGAAAAGGTGTCGAGGCGTGATGATCGTCCGTATGGTGCTACGATGATCGCCAGAAGCATGCCAACGGTAGTTGAGCAATATGATAAGCCAAAAGGCATGTGTTCAACTTCCCTAATCAAGATTCCCCTTATATTTGGATGTACAGATTGAGCTGTACTCCATCCTAATCCAATCCCGTCTATCCCTGACACTGTTAACTATCAAGTAAGGAGGCTTTGATGAAATCACGCTATCGCCACCCCTTCTGTGAATAAGGTTTAATCTCAATGGCACCTGAGTATATAGGAGTTGCACCCTGCTTGACATTCGTGCCCCTAGATTTGGCAGCCAAGGTCAACCGGTCCCGAACTGGAGTGTCTACTAGAAGGTTTAGGGTTGATACCCTTTAGGAGTCACACCCCACTTGGCCATATGACCCCTAGATTTGGTAGTGTCCAACCAGCGGTCAAACCGAAGCATTCACTAGAGAGTGCATACCAACCTTAAGGGTTTCACTAACACATTAGGAAGGAGCAGTAGGAGTGACGTGAGAAGTTACTTATGTAGATGGCTAATAGTATATGCCCTCATAAGAACAATAAGACCCATAAGCCCTATAGGTTAGGTAGTTTAAAACTAACAGTAGGATTTCTACCCCCTATAGC